CTCTTTCACAATCAAAATTGTGGTCCTACTATGCTGTCCATATTCCAAGTGACTTCAACAGTACTCAAACGTGGAGATTTGAGACTCTCAATGTAGGAATTAGTCAAAAGAGTAATACTCCTATAAATCCACACAAAACCCCAAATCTTAAACTTTTATCTTTTTGATTTACACGGTTTGGCATATTTATAAAATACAAATGTTAGGCTCTAATTAATGCATTCATTGTGATTATTTTAAAGCATTCAAATGATATTTTTGTTTTTAGCTTAGTTAAGTTTGAGGTAGAATCATTTATGCAACATAATCCACATTCCACTAACGTGATCTTTAATCAAATATCTGCACCACATTTTCTTGATTTTTTTTTAATGTTGGAACAAGAAAATATATGTAGTGACTTCATATTTCCTAACCAGAGAAGACCAAATAACTTGAACTCTAGTTCATTTTCCACTGCACCTTTTCCTTTTAACCTTTCTCACCGACACACATAGCTAGCATCATTTGACCGACAACAAGATCATCATAATATGCTGCAAGATGAAAGTGATAACACTTTGTATATCTACGCAAAGGGTCAGTACAATGCTTGTACCTCCATCAGGACGTGTCCTTGCATGCTTCAAATTAAAAGAAAAGAAAAAAAAAAGAAAAGGAAGAAAGAAAATTGGCAGAAAGACAAAAGCTAAAAAAGAATAAAAAGGAGAGAAAATAAAGATAAGGAATAATTGTATAAAGGCAAAGTTCACCTAGCTCAATGGTTGATAAGTATTATGATACCTTGTCCACCACTTCATGCAACAAATAGATAACACAGTACACCATTACTACAAAAGCAAACTTTGCTGTCCAATTCTGATTTCAGCAACGAACTGTCAATCAGAATGCATTTACACAATTGCCAGAGCTATATTCTATACTCCTCAAGAAAATTCAACGACCATTTATTTTTATTTTATATCGATAATATTAATATAAAATATCTATTATCATAAGTAATAATTAATTTCTGTTGAAGATCATAAATTTATATAAAATAAATAACCTTCTTTCTATATAATTTATTTTATAAATAAAGATAAAATTTAAATTCTTAACTTAATTAAGAGACAAAAAGTGGCTATTACTTGTACCATGGATATTAGTTGCCCTTTATTCTTTGTGCGTTGAGACTTCAAGCACAACATTATTGGGAAGGTGATCAAAGTCTTTATCAATAACATGTAGCCATTTGAATAAAAACGTTTGCCAATAATTTTGTACTTTAAAATACGTTATATTTTCTCCCCTATTCTATCCTTTTACTTTTTGCTGTCTCATACCATGTAGCTTTCGCTTTCATGTATTGTAATAGAGAAACGATAACGTTTAGTTCATTCATGGCTAATGATCAATGATCATGGAGCTTGATAGAGGCCTCCCTCCGCTCACTGTTGAAGCCATCTTTTCGGTCAAATGTCACCACAATGAGGATTGTGTTCATGAATACCTATGCAGGTTAATCCATATGCTACTAGAAGAATCCAGATATATTGAACTATAGAGGAAGCAGGAATAGCCTTATGTGTATATATTTCTAATGCACACATCACTTCACAAAGTCATACTTTCTTTCTAAAAAAATGATGATTTAAATCACATTGCATAGCCTCTCACTTTCTTACTTTTGACTCCTGTTATTTATCTACACAAGTTTCTTTTTTTTTTTTTTTTTTTTTTTTGAGTAAAGACATACATACACGTATTATCACACTAAAATGACTGACATGACAAGAAAACACTAATATATATTAAAATGACAAGTTCAAAGAAAGGATTCCCTCATTTTTCTGTTTTTCTTTCTCTAATCATTGACAAGGACACAGTGTATAAGCTATGACAGCATTGATGGGACCTAATTCAGTTTATACATCCTAACAAAAACAAATAAGAAAAAGAGAAGAAGAAAAGGGAAATTGTATTTGGTCTATGAAATTGCATAAAGTAATAGGCTTGAAGCAAAAATCGGTTTACCATGAATACAAACAGTATAGGATGGCATCTTGCTTAAAACAAAAACAAAGTAAATATGACAAAAGAGGATGTTACAGCCTAAATATCTATGAAACATTATGTAATCATTGATTTAAAACTTAAAATAATTGATCTTCATTTGATAAAAAAAAAAAAAAAAAACAACAGAAAGAATGACAAGAGAGAGAGAAGTTAATGTAGTCAAGTGAAAACATTGAAGATCAGTTAACCATAAATTGAAGTTCAAGTTGAATCACAATTACTAGTATTCAAACATGGTCAGTGAAAGGGAGAACAACCTCTGTTAAAGGTGAAATAAAATATAGAAAATAATTATTATAAGAAAGGATTGAGCATACAGAATCTAATTGATATACTTTATCTTCTAGCTGGACTCAGCTTTCTAGAACTTAGTGTCAACCAATGGCAACGATCAAACATAATCCCTCAAAGATTTTAATTATCAGGGACCTTAGATTATAATCATTCATGTGAGGTGTTGAGGCATAGTATTACTCCATGACCTAGTGATATTGTTATAGAGATAATTTACTTATAAAACCACATAAATGCAAGTGGTTGATTAGTGAGTAGTGGCCTATGAGAAAACAAACAGCTTCCAATTTTGAGAAATTGAGAGCAAGGTGCATTTAATAAAACCATGATTGATTGTTTTGTGTTTTTTTCTAAATTCTTTGGCCCCTAATAAAGAAGAACCAACCAAATGGGTGACTTGGTTGAGGCCACAAATCACATGGCAGAGCCAATAAAATGAGTTTGTCGGCTACTTTTCAGGGCCAGGATTGGGAGGCAAGTGATAACTCTGTGAGCAAGGCACAAACATTTTGATTATGGTCTAGCATGTAGCAGAGGATAAACATTAATCCAAAAGTTGGAAAGCATAGATGACAAGATGAATCAAAAGAAAGAGACAATGTGATTAGCAAAGTTATTAGTAGTGAGAAACGGCTAGGCCTAGGTGGTTTTGTTTTGTGATTCCAAAGCAACGATGTTTATTGCAAAGCACAAACTTTACTTGGTAATAATTGTCATTTTTGGCTCAATTAAATGCAATATCATGTTCTAAAGTGATTAACAACCATGAAGAAGTTCATGTCAAATCCTATAGAGCTTCAACTGGCTTAGCTTAAAAACCTTTCAGCCCATCGTTTCGTGTCGCCCCATGGGTTAGCTTGTGGGGCCATGAAACGCGAATGCCCTCTTGACCTCAAGTACGCTACAAAAGTATCTCTCTTTTAGATGATGATTGCAGTCATATGGACTGTGGAGTAGGGGCATGCTTTCCTCACCTCTCTAAGTTCCATCTTTCTTGTTTCTTAATTACCTTTTTGCCTTTTGAGTTTGTTTTTGGAGTGGGACAAACAAAGAGATAAATATTGGGATAATAAAGAGAGAGAGTGCTTAAGACCATGTAAGGTGGGGAACATATTCATATAGACGTTGAAAATAAATTGTTCATAGGAATAGGATAGTAGGCTGCATGAGGCCTAAGGGTGTGTTTGTTCCTTGCTTTAAATGGGATTTGAGATTACGTTACCCTCATTTTTCCAATATAAACAGTTCTAAGAGAGAGGTACTTGTGGACCATCAAACTTTGAAAGGGATCGTGGTTTCTCTAGATAGTGCTTTGTGATGTGCAGATATAACAATGTTTTCCAGGATTGAAATTTTTGTGTGGAAAATTAAGGGTGGGGAGGGGGGGGGGGGGGGTGGGGG